ATTGTGTCTTAGTTGAGTTAGTATGACATGCTTTTCTATTGATTAGCCATCTAATTGATGTTGTAAGTTGTTAACCTTATTGCCCTCTTGATGTATCCACATGCAACTTCAGTAGTAAGTAGCCTTACAACTAAAATACTGGTTTGAGATATACGGTATCTAATTATACTTGCGTGGTAAATTAGTTCTGGTACTCTTACAAGCCTTTTTTCTTCCTACATTGATATTCCTATTTTTGCCTGCATTGGAGTTTGTATTATCAAGATTTAAAATACGAATAAAGACAACTCTCTCGTTTATAAAGACTTGTCGATAGAGTGAATCAAGATGGAGAATTTCTGTAGGACTCTTTCTGGTATGCTTTTTCCCCTCCTTACCTATTTAGACATGTTATGTGTTATGTTTTTTTTTCTTTTACAATTTGCATGTTCTGCTAGTCTTGGGACTAACCTAAGATTTTACGACATGAGATATTGCATCCAATAGGTGTTTTACTATATTTACTGATTATTGCTTTTTTTTCCTCTCTCTCCCAAATTCTGAAGAACAGTTTGCATTAGGTTCAGTGTGGCAAAAAGAATAAGAAGAGAGCTCTTTAAAAAAAAAGAATAAGAGTGATGAACTGCTTGAGGGCTTCAATCAGATTTGAAAATCATTTTAGATTTAGTGGCCATTTTAGTCTATTAGCATAGATTATCTTAGGTGTCCCTGGTCTAACAAAATTTTTTTAAATCCATGGCACATTGGAAATATTAAAACAAGGAAATTTTTTTCAAGTATTGTCAGTAGACGAGTTTTTTCCCTTATGTTTTCAATTAACAATTCCAGCAGAAAAAAATATTTCTCATTTTATTTATTTTTGCTTTCACTTTATTGTATTTTTGTTTTAGCCTTTTGTTTTTGTTTTTATCTTAATATCTTTTATACTTGACTTTTAATGTTTATGTATAAACTTAATTATTAGTGGCCTAATACTAGGTGCAACGATTTATGTTGGGGTCTACTTTGTAGCCTTAACATGTTTAGGTTGCCAGTATCACTCCTAAATTTTTGATTTCGCATTTAATAATTGATTTTTAATAGTTGATTAGATTTTTCTTTTAATTAAGTGTCATTTTTTTAAACTTGCCTTATAGTGTCTTTGGTGTTTTGCTTATTGTTGGCTTGCACACCTGGCTGTGGTTGCTTGATAGTGAGAAATTTCTTTAATTTGGACTTGATTGTTGACTAGGTGAACCATTGGTGAAAACTGTCATTTGCTGGAAAGTCACATTAAGCTGTCAAATTTGAGTGAAAACAGAATTCTTATCGATATCTCACCCCAATTAAGCCCTTGCTTTGTTCAGTGGCTAGAACTTTGAATTTTGACATTTCATTTTTGGTGTAACATTGACAAAAGTTTCGGTATATTTGCTGGTTGATTGGTAGAATTTCCTTTCACTCATTTGTGCTGCTATTTGCTCACTGCATCTTACATAAAATTGCATAATTCTTTTAACATTTTGAGCAAGAATTGGAATTTTAGCTGTTGAAGCTAGGGGAGTTTACTAGTAATCATACTTTATATCTTGTTCCAGATCTGTTCGTTGGCTTTATATTGAACTAATTTTAATCTGACACTGCATAGTGCAAATGACATTAGAGTTGAACTGAGTTTGTTGAATTGTCATTGCTGTTTGTTTCACAACAATCACGCAATTGCATCACTCACAAATCTTTCCTGATTTTTATACCTCTTTCTAGATCTAAAAATTTGATGTTTTTGAACTCACTCTTCTGAAATGATAATGACACTCCATTGCTGAGCTGTATTTAAAATTGTCGTAGACATCATTTGTTCAGTGTTCAATCTTTGTTTGGAGTGCATTCTATCACTTGTGATCAATTTAAGTGCATACTCTAGTCTTCTGTACCTTGCGTTCTGTCATTGGTGGAAAGGATTGCTCTTAAATTTTGAGGGGTTGGGGATTTAATAGTGAGTGGAGAGGGAGAAGAATTTGTCACCATTTTGAAAATAACATTTGCTCGGGAGGGAATTTATTGTTCTTGAACGAGTTAATTAGCTTATTCTTAAATTTCTTGCTAAGCACATTCGATTATGAGCTTCACTTTGAAGACGCTCTCACAAATAAGTCTCCTGGTTCGATCAAGTTTCATGGAAGACTTTGAATATCATGCAACCATCTTTCTTTCCTTCCTTTCTTTAGATAGAAAAAGGAGAGATTTGGATACTAGTGGCAGAAACTGTATTTTTAAATAAAAAGGATTTCCCTGATATGGTTTTTGATAGAAAATGGCTCGGTCAAGTTTCCTTCTATTCCTTGTGATTATTTGATATTGCATAAATGGCTTATAAAAAGAATTACAGTTTTTTAAAGTAAAAAGGTGTCCTTGGTTTGGTTTTTGAATTTCTATGTGCAACGAACTCCTAAATGTGCATAAATATAATTACAGGAGTCTACATTTGCTTGTCATCTTAGACTGTCCATACCTTTGTTGTTTTGTAGCCCCTTACAAATGTGCTTTATATTTCTACCTTGGCAAATAACTTGTGTATGCAAACTTGCTAAGGTTGATTATTATTGTATCATTTGATGCTTAATTTCAATGCCTATTTACAAATGTAGGAACATTGAGATTAAATCATAGGCTTGAACTTGACATGCAAAGCTGCCTTAATGAATCTTGTATGGATTATGATCCTTAATATTGCATCTTTTGATGCTTCATTTGGGTATCTGTATGTTAATGTGGGAAAATTGAGATTACTTGTGGGGTTTGAACTTGACATGCAAAGATGTCTTCGGTTTTCCTCCATTCCTTGTGATCCTTTAAAACTGCATATGTGATTCATCACAAAAGTAACCTTTTGTTAAATTAAAAGATGTCCTTGTTTTTTTCACCAAAAAAAAAAAAGATGTCCTTGTTTTGGCCTTTTGAACTTCTATATGTAATGCACTTCTATAAGGCTAAGTGAGTCTGTATCATTTCATGCCTAATCTTGATGTGCTTTAAAATAATTATAAGGGTCTAAATTTGCTTGTCAGTTTAGACTTTCCATATCTTTATTGCTTTATAGCCCCCTTTCAAATATTTTATATATTTTTTTCTTGGGCAAATATTTCGTGCATGCGCAAGTGCAACGATTGATGATCATTGCATCATTTGATACTTGCCTACCTATGAATGTGAGAAAATTGACATTGAATTAGAGGCTTGAACTTGGCATGCAAAACTAGCTGAATTAATCTTGCATGCATTGTGATCCTTCAAAATTGTATTGGTGGCTTATTTGATGATCATTGCATCTTTTAATGCTTCATATGGGTGCATGTATACCGATGTGGAAAAATTGAAATTGATCCCATGTCTCGAACTTCACCTGCAAATATGTCTCGAGTTTCATTCCATTCCTTATATCCTTTGAAATTGCATATATGGCTTATCGGAAAAATGACACCTATTTTTTTAAATAAAAAATTTTCCTTGCTTCGATTTTTGAATTTCTATATGTTAATTAGTCCCACAAGGCTCAGTGAAATTTGTATCATTTGATGCCTAATCTTCATGTGCATAATTATATTTATAGGAGTCTTTGTTGCGTTACATCTCCCCAACAAATCTACTATATATTTTTACTTTGGCAAATTATGTGTATACATACACTTGCAAATATTGATAATCATTGCATCATTTGATGCTTATTTATGAATATGGGAAAATTGAGATTGAATGAGGCTCGAACCTGACAGGTGAAGCTGCCATAATGAATTTGTATGCATTGTGATCCTTCGTAATTGCATGTGGCATATATGATGATCATTGTATCTTTTGATGCTTCATTTAGGTGCCTTATATGAGTGTGGGAATATTGAGATTGATTTTGATGCTTGAACTTCACATGCAAAGATGTTTTGAGTTTGCCTCAATTCCTTGTGATCCTTTAGTGGTTTTTTTTTTAAAAAAAAGAGTTTTTAAAATAAAAAGATGTTCTTGTTTTGGTTTATAAACTTCTACATATAATGCATTACATGTTTTGGTTTTTAAACTTCTACATGTTTTGGTTTTTAAACTTCTACATGTAATACACTACGTGTTTTTATTTATCATTTGATGTGTAATATTAATGTGCATAAATAGAATTACAAAGGGTTTACATTTGCTAATTAGCTTAGACTTTTCATGTCTTTGCTTCTTCATAGCTCCCCTTATAAATATGCTATATATTTTTGTATTTGGGAAAATTTTGTGTATGCGCATTTGTAAAGATTGATGATCATTGCCTAACTTATTCTTGAATACCTTGTAATTCTTAAAATTTGCATATGCAACTTATTTGATGATCATTACATTATTTGGTGCTTCTATCCAAATGTAGGAATGTTGAGATTGATTGTGAGGCTTGAGCTTCACATGCAAATATGACTTGAGTTCCATAAGGTTGAAAATATGATCTTATTCACTTGCTTTTTATCAAAGTGTACGGCGACTTAAATAGATAAAATGTCTCTTAATCATTAGAGAGATATTTCGAAATGCTTTAGGAAAAAAATTTATTTTAAAATTAGATGATGAGGGTTTAACTTATTCTTGTGGCTGGTAACAATGCCCAATACTATAAGTCCTATCAGTGTCTACATGATTAATTCTACCATGGTGAACTCAGTTGACTATTTGTAAAGCTGATTTGTTATCACATCACAATTTTATAGCAAGTACCCCATCCTTGTATTCTAAATTAGTAGATGGAACCATGATTATCAAAACGAGATACGAATCATAAATCAGAAAGCTGATTTTTTGATCCTTAAATCGTAACATATCATGAATTGTAAGATTCATGAATAATTATTAAAGATGATATACAAGTAATTTTTGTATAAAAAGATATCAAAAGTTTGTAAATATTAGTTGTTTTAGACCTCTCAAAAAAAATAAAAAAGTCAACATATGAAATTCTAAAGAAAAATAGTCCTCAAAATCAACTTAAAAATCAAAATCCTAGCTTAAAAAGACTAAAATCACTGAACATAAAATTCAATTCCTCATTTATCATTTCCAAGATCAATGTCACTCAATTCATGATCATCCTCCATTAACAATGTCACTTCTTCATCCTCCTCCTCTTCCCCACCTTCAGCATCATCTTCATTCTCATTCTGTTGTCTCACTATAGATTTTCCTTTGTTATTGGCTTTGGCATTCAAGTTTCTTGGACCTATGGGAAAAAAAAATTAATAAGCATGATGGTATATATTTAAACTAAAATTAACCTAAGTTTAGCTTTGAAATATTATACCTTTCTTTCTTTTCTTACTTGGAGCTCCTTCATCAAGAGTAAAACTCTCATGTATGTCCATCCATGACCCATCTATTGGCAAGCATGGATTTTTTTTTTCAATGATCCACTTATCATCAGATTCAATAACTGATAAACAAATTAGATCATATGTCTCTCCTTTTTCCTCTCTAATCTTCTGTCTCATCTCAAGTTGAAGGTTGTACTTGACAAATGCAAGTGCATTTAACCTTTGTTGTTCTAAATGATTTCTTTGCTTAGGATGCACTTGATCAAATGTGCTCCAATTTCTTTCACATCCAGTAGCACTACACGCGAGACTCAAAATCCTCATAGCTATCTTTTGCAACTCTTTGCCCTCTCCTCCATAACTTTCCCACCAAAGAGTTAAAAAAAGATACAATAATGAGAAATGATTTCAAAAATTCAGATTTATTATTAAGATTAAAAATTAAAGTCTTCTAAATAGAATAGACTATAGACTAGAGAATGGTACTAGGTTGCTTTTTGTTTCTAGTATCTATTGCCATGCTCCTTCCAAAAAGCCCTTTAGCAGACTTAAATGCTTCAAGTTGTTGATCAACTAAAAATCTTATCTTTCTATCTGGAATCATTCTCTCAATAGTTTCATATAAACCAAAATAAACTTCCTAGTTCGCATTAAATTTTTCATCATAATGAAACCTACGAAAATAACAAATAAGTTATGTTTTTCTAAGTTTTGACATACAATTAAACAAAAATATTTAAATTTTAAACTTTAAAGTATATACAACTCACTTAGGATTAAGAAAGTTGGTAGCCGCATGGAGGGGTCTATGTAATTGCAAAGTCCAACGAATATCAATGATCTTTCATATTTTTTATACCTTGATTCCTCTTTTCAAAATTGTCAGCAATTTCTTCTTTGGCCCTGTTCATTGCTTCATAAGTATATGGCATAGCAGGTTTAGAGTCACCATCTACAAGTCTTAAAACTTTTACAAGTGGACTCACACACTTTAAGCAATATTTGATGGAATTCCAAAATCTAGAATCCTAAAAACCATGTCCACCACTTGCTTGCCCTCACTTTTACTAGCAAAAGAACTAGAAATCCAATCATATGAAGCAAACATGGTTCGAAGAGCATTTTTTTTGTTACAATATACAACTCAGTGTAAGATAAGCTGTTGCAAACCTTGTCACTGTCGGTCTAGCTAATTCTTTTCCTTTGGAATACTTTCTATACAAGTTAAGAGCCCATGTATGCCTATAAATGAAGGTTGTTATTTTCTTTGCATTGGTGATGGTATTATAAAATACCGAAAGTTGCCCAATGTCTTTAAGGATTAAATCAAGACAGTGTGCTGTATAAGGGGACCAAAATAATTTTGTTCTCTTCTCTTCTAACATCTTCCCTGCTGCCATGAGATTTGACGCACCATCTATTACAACTTGCACCCCATTATCCTTCCTAATTTCCTCAACCATATTGTCTAGTAATTCAAACATTTGTTTAGCATCCTTAATCACACTACTTGTATCCACTGACTTTAGGAAAATTGTTCCACTAGGACTATTAACTAAAAAATTAGTAAGAGACCTTCCTTTACCATCGGTCCAACCATCACACATCAAGGTATAACCCCATTTCTCCCATTCCTTCTTATATTTTGCTAAACTTTCTTGAATTTTATTAACTGCTTTTTTCAAGTGAGAAACTCTCACCTCATGATAACTTGGAGGTTTTAAACCCCTACTATATTCACCAACAGATTTTAACATTTGAATGAATAGTGGACTTCTTAGCAAATTAAATGATAAAGCATTACTATAGATGCATTTACAAATATCTTAAATTACTAACTCTCTATCTTTTACCATCTCATTCATTGTTTTCTGTTTGGTAGTTTTTGATGTCCCTTCCTTCCCCTTAGCATCTTGAGCAGTTGCCTCTTCAAATATTTCAACACTACTGGCATCTTTGCTTTTTTCTCTATTTTCTAACATTTTAACAAACAACTTTTCACTTCATCAGGAACACTTGTACAAGGACTCACATTCTCTCTAGTTCTAGCCAAATGATGTTTCATCCTAGCTACCCCACCTTAACATTGATGTGAACAGTATTTGCATTTAACCATAAGTCTAGGGGGAGGAACACTTTCACAGTGATTCCATGTAATATCAGCTTCCTTTTTTTTTTTTCTTATTCTGAGTTTAACTCATTTGTCCTACCTTCACAAATATAATATCCAATAGAAGCAAAAAAGAAGTAGGAAAAAATTACCAAACAGGAGTAGAATGGACCCCCAATCAACCAGCAAGTCAACAACAGTATAGAGTGGACCATTGCCTTCAATTTTTATAACTTTTCGACCAACCAGTAGAAGAGGAGAAAAAAGGCAACTGTGGGGTACAAGATACAGAACGTGAAAAACAGAGTAGATGGGAATAAAAAAATAGGGTTTCACATACTTCTAATTCAATTTGTGGCAGTTTCTCCATTTAAATAAATAAAAAAAAAGTGTATTATCGTGTTGGGTCACGCACAGATCCGGGTTAGATCTGTGCCACTTAACAGTGCCGAGAATCGCGTGATCCGCCAACATCGTGAGATTCGCGTGATTTTGGTGTGAATCGCGTGATTCTGGGTGCGATTCAGATGGCAAAGGGATATACTGGGAGATTCGCATCTCCCAGTGCTAAATCTATAATGTATCGTGCGATTCGAATCTCGAATGGCATGATACTAATAACCATGGATGGATCCATAGAAGTCGAAGATAGTTTAGCGCCCTTAAATAAGTTAGTGGTATAATTTTTTGAGTTTCCTTAAATATCTAAGACTTCTAAGATAATTTACTTTGAATAAAGTTGCTAATGCACTTTTGAGTCACCTTATTTCTTCCAAGTCATCTCCTGTCATTACTATATCATCTTCGAGCCTGTTTGGGATGACAGTGAAAATCAATTATAAGCATGCTTCACATAAGTCGAGACAAAACTCCCCTCACATACTTGTCTCTTATTTCGTAAATCACAATTGAAAAGCTACTTATAAACTGTTCCAAACAGGCCCTTCATGCACAATTAAAATAGAGATTTTAGATCTTGAGTGCTTTACAAACAATGTATGGTCTGCTTGGCATAGTGTGTAGCTTGAGTTTTTTATGACTTTGATGAATCATTCAAACCAAACCCTAGGTGACTGCTTTAACCTATAGAGAGATTTGTGCAATTTACATGCCATATTTCAGTTTCTGAATTATGCAATTCCTTCATGAACTCTTATATATACTTCCTCTTTAGGATCTCCATTTAAGAAGGCATTCACATCTAATTGATGTAGAGACCACTCAAGATTTGCAACTAAGATAATGGAATCCCTATCGTATTTCATTTTGCTATAGGAACGTTTCTTAGTAATCAATTCCTTGTGTTTGTGAATCTTGGCCACCAAATGAGCTTTACACTTGCTCACTAGTCTATTAGCATTGTACTTAATGGTGAACACCCATTTACATCCAATTGTCCTTTTGCCTTTAGGAGTATTTCAACGGTCCACATTTGATTTTTAGACAAAGCCTTCAATTCTTTATTAATGGCTTCTTGCCATCCGAGATCTCTATTTGCCACTTTAGATGTTGATGAAATTTTTTCCTCATTAACCTTAGTGACAAAACTCTTCATACAAGATGATGTGTTGTCATAAGAGATAAAGTTACTTATAGGGGGAAGAGCACGTTGTCTTACCTTTGTTCTTAAAGCAAATGGCCACCCAAGATCATTACATTTTTGAGTTAGAGTTGATTCTTGTCGTTCCCTTGAGCTGGAAAGGTCTCTACTAGTAATTTGGGTAACTTCATTTTCTTCTTTTTCTTCCTCCTCTTTTGATTCACTTGATTCCTCTATTACATAACTATTTTTAGGTCCATTGGCACTGGATTTAGGACTGTAAACTAGTTCAGCCTGTGTTTCAGGTCTATTTGGACTAGTTTCAGATATGTTTTTTTGGCCTGTTTATTAGTTCAGGTAGTGTTTTAGGTTTGTTTGCTAGTACGGGAAGTTTTTGTTATAACTTGTGTCTTGATAATCTCAGTTTAAGGTCTGGTTTCAGATTCATCACTAATTTCTTTTTTTTTTTTTTGGGTTTGTTTTGGTCACACAAACTGCCATTCTTTGTCATTCTCCCCTTGAATAGAAGTTTTCATGTAATAGGCTTGGTTTTCTTCAAAGGAGACACACATGGTAACAAAAATTTTTTGTGGGGTAGGAGAATAGCATTTGTAGTTTTGCATAGTTTTTTAGAATTGGAGTAACCTAGAAAGATGCATTTTATGGCCCTAGAGTCAAATTTACTCTCAACTAAATAATAGACATCTGACGCCACACAACCAAAAATTTTTAGGGGATACTAAAGTGGTGTTAGGATAAGTCTTGGTCAGTATGTTCTTTAGAGGGCATTCTATTGATAAGGTAGGTGGCAGTGAGGATTGCCTCTCCTCGATAACAATTAGGAACATTATGAGGTAGCCTCATGGCACTGATAACTTCAAGAAAGTGTTTATTTTTACGTTCAGTAGTGTCATTTTGTTGGGGAGAGTTGACACAAGTGGTTTGGTGAAAGAGATTCTGTGATCTTTAAAGGTAGGTTTAAAGAGTGTTGCTCATGTACTCCCTGTCAATATCACTTCTTAGTGTACAAATTTTAGCTTGAAATTGTGTGGAAATCATTTTGTGAAAATTGATGAGGGTAAGTACAATGTCTTATTTTTCTTTCATAAGATATACTCAGGTTACCCATATATGGTCATCAATAAATACTACAAACCATTTTGCGTTTGACAAAGATGTGACATGAGTAGGACCTCGAATATCGTTGTGTTAAAAGGTTGAGAGAATATGTGAGGATGGTTCTTATAAGTGGTTCTTGTGTATTTTGCGAATGGACATACTTCACAAGACAAAGGATAATAACTTTTATTAAATTGAGGAAATAGCTCTAACATGTATTGAAAATTGGGTTGTCTTAATAGCTCTATGACAACGAATCTTTATTAGTTGAATTGGTAGTAAATGCAGATAAAACCTTGCACTTGAGAAAAACTGCTCCTTTGATAGGTTGATTTCTGAGCTATAGTTTCTTTCAATTCTCTTCATTTCTTACAGTAAAGAATACTTCACACAGAGAGGGTAAAGTGTCAAGACTCATGATTCTACCTCTTACATCGTCAAAGGCTGCATCTAGTCACAGGATTAGTCCATATCATAGTTGCTGATTGTTTATCATTTTTAATTGCTTAAGTATTTGCTAATTTTTGTATAGGCTTGTGTTTAGCGTTGACCATATCACCAAAATAGTTAAAACTATTGACACAAGCTTCTATATTCTTTACCTTTCTTGTTACACAAGAGACTATTATTTATCAACATTCCCTTACCAAGTCACAATATTGCTTTTCCGTCTTCATCTGTAAATTTTGGTAGTTTATAAAACATCAAGAAGCATAAAAGAAGGAAATGATTACAATGACAATGATTAATATACACTTCAAAAATAATAATATGATTGAAACAATTAAATCCTCTTTTAAATCATATATAAAAAATAATAAGATAAGAATAAACCCAACTGAATGATATAGTTTAGAAACTAGGAAAAGGAAAATCTGAATCAAAAAAGAAAATGGAGTGCAAAAATTTTCCCAATTTGCATCCCTCTCATCTTCCCCCATCAGCAAACCAAACCTGATGATGGATTAGAAAAGGAAACTGCGAGGACATTGTCTTGTTTCTTATTAATAGATAAGAAAGTATCTTACAACTCATAGATAAAAATCCATGACAATATTATAAGATGCAGAAGAGGATGAATGGAAACCTATATCGTAAAGTGAGATGGAAGTCCGTTAACCTTCCTCCATTTATCACTGCTCATATTGGTCTCCATCCATTACTCTCGTTCATCTTTATTTCTTTGTTCCTTCCAATCTCAATATTCAATCTTGAAAGAACCTGCACGAGAAGAAAAGAAAGACATCAGTGTAAAGGGACCTGATAAGAAATTTTGGAGAAGATAAGAAATCAAAACATGAAGCAAGCATGACCTTCTTGGATCCCTAAGGGGAGAGAACAGAAATAAAGAGGAGAAGAGGAAAAAGAGGTAAAAAGAAAATAAGAACACAACTCATAAAGGAAGCCTAACCAAATGCCTCTCTCATTGTGCTTCGTGAACTTCTCAGTTGCCTCGAAACGAATCTTCCTTCGATTGCCGTCGATAACAAATCGAAAGGGCTTAGATTTGAAGATGAAGAGAAATAGAGGGAGAGCAGAGATGCTCAGCTGAATGCATAAGAAGGGACCACTGATTGCGCTCAAAGAAGACCCTGGAGAAGAAGAATCCAATGAGAGAAAGATGATGTGGGAAGTAGAAATGGTTAAATGGCTGACAAAGGGTGAAAGAGAGAATAGATAGGGGGAGAAAAATAAAGAAATAATTATTGGATTTCAAATTTCAAAATTTGAAATTTATTAGTCTTACAAGGTCCAAGATTTGTTTTCTTTCCCAAACTAAACGGACCGTACAAGCTACAAACGTATCATTAATATATATGATTTAATTGTTAAGTTAATTTTGATTTTAAATATAAGATTTATTTATCATATTTATTAATTTTTTAAAATTATCTCTATAGATATTTTTTTAACCATAATCAAATAGAAGAAGGGATGAGGATATTAAAAAAGATGATTATGGTGTTTTAGGAAAAACATATCATATTTTTTTATAATTAACTAACTTACCTAACTTTCTTGATCTAATCAAATTAATTAAATATGTCTTATATTAAGGATTGAAAGAGTATTTATTTAATTAATTTGGCAGCTTATCATTAATGTTATTTGGCTTGATAGCAGCTCAAAAATTATATTTATTTAATTAATTTGGCTTGTAAATGGTGATTTGTATCTAGGGTCATAAATAAGCTATTTGAAGATATAGTTTGGTGAAAGAGTATTTATATATATATATATATATATATATATATTGATGATATATAGATATTGATAATGAGTTATATTTTTGAAGTTTTATCAAATGTTATTTATTTTTGTGAATTTTATATTATATTATTATTTACGATAATAGGACTTATAAATAGCACAATTTCGTATAAATATTTTTTATTTTTAATTTAAAACCCAATTAAATTTTTGAACTATACCTTGGTCGAAATTTGGAAGTCATTTTTTTTGGTAAAAAAATTTGAAAAGCATCTTTATCAATGAAACTTAGTTTTTTGGAATAATTTTTTTGAAAGTATTTTTTGCCTTTTATTCTTGGTTTTTAGAAGTTCTTCATAAGAGTATTGTCTGTGGCAATCTACTTTTTCAACTCTTATTTTGTTTTTGAGTGAATGCTATTTTCTAAATTCTTATAAATTACTATCTCATATTTTAATTATAAAATTTTATTTATTTAGAAACTAAGAAATGAAGGTAATACCATCTAAAGTCGTAACCAAATTCACTCAATAAAAATATATCATACCAAAATTTAAGCGTATTTTTAACGTTAAAAATAAAAGAAATAAATACTAACAACTTGTTTTTATATTAAAATCAAAGAAATACATACTAAAAGGTGGTCAAGTAGAGTAAGATTATGGGTTTTATTAGGGGTGTTCACGGGACGGATTGAGACCGGAACAAGCCCGTCCCGGTTCCGTCCCGATGAACAGTAATGGGACAGATTTTCTGTCCCGTGTCCCGATCCGTCCCGAGGTTATCCCGGTCCCGGTCGGGACGGGACGGATCCGGGACGGGACCGGGACGTCCCGAAATTAATTTTTTTAATTTTTTTTAATTTTAAAATTTTTTTTAAAAAATCTGATTTTTTAATTATATTTTTTTGACCTTAAATCTTATAAAAAATCTTTTTATTTGTTTGGGCACTCTTAAACAAAAGCTCAAAATATTACATATAATAGTCATTAAAAACTCTAAACAAAAGCTTTTAACACAATAAAAACTTGCTAAAAATTCTAATCATCAATAATCTCAAATCATTAACAAATATAAAAACTCTAAATAAATATATCCATAGTTCCATACAATAGTCTCAAATCTTAAAAAAATATGAAAAAAATGATATTATATAAAAAATTAAAAAAAAAGAACCGGGACGGGACTGGGACGGGACGACCCGTCCCGTGTCCCGTCCGGAAAAATTTCGGGACGGATCCGTCCAGTCCCAATAAGATCGGGACCGGAACGGGCCGACCGGGACAGGCCGGCCTTGAGCACCCCTAGGTTTTATGGGGGAAAAAACCCAAAGTAAGATTGTGGGTAAAAATCTTATCAAATTAAAAAAAAAAAAGCAGATTTATTTTATTTGGATCAAGACAAGTGTGTCTAAGGGTGTTTGGATAAAATCAAACCATGGTTTGGAGAATAGCTTCTGGAGAATAGATTCTGGGAAGAATAAATTTTGTGAAGAATAGATTTTGTGAAAAAATGATTCTAAAAAGTGAGAGTATTTGGATAGTTGTTATCAGAAATATTTTTTTTATATACAAATCACTAAAAAAGATATAAGTTAATATGATAATTACATAAAAGATAGATTTTATGATATATTTTAATTTGAAGGAATAAAATTGTTAATAATATATTTTTTACCAACATAATTAATAATACATAAGATAATATAATTAATGAATAATTAATATGTGTATATATATTTATAAGATATAAGATTAATATGTTTATAAAAAATTAATTGAGAGATGTTAAAGTCATATTATTGTTGAGATCTATTCTAATAGGCACAATCATATTTCCCACCAGAAACAGAATGAATTCACTTCTCTTGAAACCATAGTTTTGAGTTTCAAAACCATGATTTCAGTCCAAACCATAGTTTCAGATTATGACATCAAAATTAATGCTATTTGGATGACATTCCATCCAAACTATGGTTTTGCCTTCTAAACCTAAACCATGGATTGGGAGTCACTCAAACAGGCTAAAATATTTAATGGCACCGGGGGAGAACCGAAGCTACTCCAATCATCACCTTTCTTTATCTTGTGAAAACCAAGTAGAAACATTTCTCTGCAGTTATTCATTAAGGTCGATCAGAGACCATACTGCTTACCTCTACCGGATACAAACCCTGAATTTCGAAGTGCTTCAGGTCAGGTGCTTTCGCTGTGCGAAGCAGTTAAGCAGTGGTGGTCCGGTCTTGGATAGAGACAGAAAATCATCAACCGATGGATGATGCCAGAGTCGCGGAGCTAAAGAAATTTATTGATGGATGCAAGTCAGATCCTTCACTTCTTCACAACCCATCTCTTGCATTCTTCAAGTCTTATCTTGTGAGGTACTAGAGGTGTCAGCAGATAGCTTTGCTCTTCATTTTTCATGTTGGCTCGTGATTTCTTTCTCTGAAACATTTGTATTACTTTTGCTTGCAGCTTAGGTGCTCGCCTACCTCCAGAACAGAAAACGGTGATCCCCTTATTATTAAATCAATTTCTACTCGTCTCTCTTTTGCTACTATGCTCATGTTCATTTGGCATGTCAAAATTTATGTACTTTTAGAGTTTGGGTGGTAACTGTTGGTGAATGTTGAGATGCATATATGGAAATAAGAATAACTAAGTTCCGTACTTCTGATGGTATCCCAAAATGGTGGCTTTGTACTCTATCTTTTGCATTTTTAAAGTCTGATAATTTCTTTAAGAGAATATGGGTGAAAGTTTCTCTTGTAAAGTAAAATTCTTTCATTTTCTGTCATGTTCGGCTTATAGCAAACTCATGCAGGAGAAAGTTGCTGACAACATGTCAGAGCGTGCTGATGCTAAAGGAGCTGATTTATCTGGAGAAGATGAAGATGAAATTGTAGAATCTGATATCGAACTGGATAATGCTGATGTTGTTGAACCTGATAGTGACCCTCCTCAGAAGGTATTTGATTGGCAGTCGATTAGTGGGTTTCCAACAGTGTATCTTGCAATCTTTTCTTTTGCTTTTCTATCTAATATTTTCTTTTGAGAGTATGTTGACGGTGGGATGGCATGGCATGAAGTCTGCTTCTGACAAAAATAATTATAATTGGTTGGCAGATGGGAGATTCGTCAGCTGAGGTGACAGAAGATCAGCGGGATGCTGCTCAAGTTGCAAAGTCTAGGGCCATGGATTCTATTTCAGAAGGCATGGCTTAAATTTACTTGATAGTGCAATATCCTGAGTCTCTCGTACTTTGTTTCTTGGAGATCCCTTTCCTCTGTCAATTGGATAGTCTATGCTTTTCAGGGAAGTTGGATGATGCGGTGGATCAACTAACAGAAGCCATTGTCTTGAATCCCCATTCAGCAATACTCTATGCTACCCGAGGTACTCTAATAATTTATCTTCCAAAACCAAAAAGCTATTGGTAAATGTGGTTTATTTTACTGCCTTCCGCATCATTTCTTGGAATTTGGAAACTTAAATTAAGTTTCTTGCTTTCAGCTAGTGTCTTTATCAAGTTGAAGAAACCAAATGCTGCAATCCGTGATGCTGATACTGCCTTGCAGGTCTAATTATTAGTTCTTGCCATGCCATAACTCATTGCATGGAAAGCATGGAAGTTTTGTTTTAATTGCTACTGAATTTTGATGAGGCCGGCTTTGTCTACATGACATGTTTGTGTAGATTCAAACTCTCAGTTACATTGTTTGTTCCAGATTAATTCTGACTCAGCTAAAGGATACAAAATACGGGGAATGGCTAGGGCTATGTTAGGATTATGGGAGGAAGCAGCTAATGATCTTCATGTGGCTTCAAAGTTAGATTATGATGAAGAGATTGGAACGGCACTTAAAAAAGTAAGCCACCTCCTTTTCCCTGCCCACGGTAGATAGGAACTAGCAAAAAACCATGTATATAATCATATATTTTAACTTTAATAGGTTGAACCTAATGCCCGGAAAATTGAGGAGCATAGGAGAAAATATGAACGATTACACAAGCAAAGGGAGCAGAAGAGAGCTGAACGGAAGAAGAAAAAACAAGCGGAAGCTCAAGTAAGTGTAGGGTAGTGTGGAATTTCCATCATGGAACAGACTTGTTTACAGTTAAGCCGTCTTGGGCAACATTTTGGGAATTAATTAACTAGCATCCTTTGCATAATAGTTGAACGCTTTTCTTATTTAGTTATGGGGTGATTTTTAGTTGCGTATACAACAAAGGGTTACTCAGTGCAACTTGGATTATAAATAATTAAGGGCTTGCGGGCACTGAAATTCCTCTCCCTTCCCTGGCAACATTAAGACTCCATATTCATTGCTGTGACTTTGCAGTGATCTGTTTAAGCTCAAAATTTGTTTTGACCTTTTTTTTTTTTTTCAGGTTCAAGAATCATTGTCTGCTTTAAAAGATGGTATGCCTTTTTATTCATTTTCTCTGATGTTATTAGTTGTTACAGTTTCCAAATTAATTGGCGCATTTTCTTATATTTGTGGTTTGAGTGAAGGTGGGAAATATATTTTATGATTATGTTGTAACTACTTCCCCCTCCCTCCTTCTTACACACACACACTCATATTACTTTTCACTGTCCGGCTGCCTTGTACCTTCATATCATTCATCATTAATTGCTATACTGGGTGTGCTTGAAGAATGAAAGGACCCTGGAATTATAGGCATTTTGTTTTGCTTTCCTTTGTTCTTAACATGATGACGACTGGTCTGTGTTTTGTTGCGAAAATAAAAGACGCCACTAGTGAAAGAACTATGATGTGATTGCCTGGCTTTTTTAATTCTCTTTCGGGGTCCCCCCCCCCCCCCCCGGCGGTGGGGCCTGGGGGGAATAAAAGAGGCCACTAGTGACTCTTGCTGATATTACTTGGAAAAGAAAGGTACCAAAAAAAAAAATCCTTTTTAAACGCATTTTGTTGGGGCAATAGGTTACATCATGTGATGTTGGAATGCTTACAACACCAAAAGGTTCTTGATTGTAACCTGCAAGTCAGAACTCGGACCTGGAAGAGCAATCTTGGTTTAGGGAAGTGTAGCCTTAGCCTTTGCCTGGTCCAATTCTAGTGTCTGTGGGTAAGTGGGTGGGTATAATTGTTGAGGCGGGCGTAAGAAACCATTGATATTGAATTGAGTGGGTGGGTATGGGCGTGAATATGGAATTATTGATGCTGAAAAGAAAAATGGAAGCCTCTTTGATGTGAAAAATATTAAATAACGAGCTTAGGGTAGGTTTTTAAGTTCTGACAATCACTCAATCACTACTATATTTTGCTTGTGTTGTTACCTTTTGCTGGACCATAATAACATCATGGACTTCATGCAACCTACTTTACTTAGTAGAATAAGACTTGTTATTGTTGTTGTTTTTGCCTTTGACCTGAGGTTTTAACATGATTTTCAAGATTCATGTACTCCTTCTGGCCGCTACTTTGAAATTAAATCCAAACTTTGATGTTGGTCGCTAACTTGATATCAAATAACTTATGGTTTCGTGGCATTAAACAGGACAAGTCATCGGTATCCATTCTGTTGGTGAACTGGACAAGTTATTGAGTGCTGCTTCTAAGACATCTCGCTTGACAGTTCTGTATTTTACTGCAACGTGGTGTGGCCCCTGTCGTTTTATTGGGCCTCATTTTACAAGCTTGGCTGAGAAGTACCCAAAAGTTGTATTTTTGAAGGTTGACATAGATGAGGCAACAGATGCTGCTGCACGCTGGAATATTAGCAGCGTTCCCACCTTTTTCTTTATTAAGAATAGCAAAGAGATCGACACTGTGGTGGGGGCAGACAAAAGTGCACTTGAAAGGAAGGTTGCGCAACATGCAGGCGCTCCTTAAGTGACACCTGATCAGAACATGGATACAATTTTTGTTTTCTCTTGCTTTTTTCTGTGTTTATATTTCTGTTATGTCTTAAAAACGTGACTCGCGTTGTGTCTGTTGGCATGTCAATTTGCTTGTCCCAAGAGTTCGCGTTCCCTTGGAATAAAGTTATACACACTTTCCTGCCTATTTTTGTAAGATAGTTCGGTAACTCAAATGGGGAAAGAAAAATTCAACGTGGGCGTTGTACTTCGAGACAGAAGCCCGTATCATATCTTTTTCATGAGAATATATATACCTGCTAGAAAATATTTGACCAGCTTGAACGTACAGACTCATGCATAACAAGAAAAAAGTTCCATAATTCATTTTCTTTCATTCTTGGAGTGAAATCTCAAAACCAAATAGAATATGAACCTGTAAAGAACGCCCCAAGCCAGCAGAATAAATATGTCGCACCATATGTCTTCTTTAATAATATCCATTGAGGATAAAACATCTTCTCCTATTAAGCAATTACGCGACATGTTATGGTGGGAGCTTAGCTTCACTTCTCCTAAAGGACCAGGAGACAAATCTGCCAGGTTCCCTGTGTAGCATTTATCATTCTTGAATTCATTTGTCAGCAATGCTTCAAATGGATATTTGATTGCAGAAATATAATGGAGCCACCTCCAATAGAAAGGTATTTGAGTTCGCTTGAGGAAGAAACCACAAGTTAAGAAGAACAGAGCAGTTGTGGCTATAACTACGGCATACCCTGTGATGTAGCTTGGAACAAGTGCACTAACAAGCATCACATAGGCATTGGTAGTGATAAGCGAAGCAAAGAGGATCATCCAAAAATGGAAGAGACTGCTTTTTAGGTGAAGGAATACTTTGGTTATGGCAGCGAATGTGAAGCCTTGGATGGCGAAAAATGGGAGATAAACAATGAGGGAAGAAATTACATATGAAGAAGCACGATAAGCATTGTGGGATGTCTCTTTAATGAAGACGAACCTTTCTAAGATGAAAGTAGGGACAGCATCGTTGGAAGAGAAGAAAACTAGGCACACTGAAAAGATATAGAAGTTGAGAAGCCTACTTATGTCTTTGAAAGTGGGATGACCAAGGTTTTTGAAGATGGTGGAGAGGATAAGCGCCATAACGGTTAGCACAACCTCACGGGACAGGAAGAGTTCAGGTGTTCGAATTACATTGAGTGCAGTTCTCCATGACAGCACTGCAACCTCACGTAGCCATGGATTTGCATATTTTGATCCTAGATGTGGCTCATCAAGAGCTTCTTCAATCTCAAACTCTTCATAAGAAGGTCCATGGAAGTCCATAGATTGGCTAACTACATTGGAAGTCTTGGCCCGATAAGGGTCCTGATCAGATGCAGGATGTTGGCTGGAAATAACACTTCTCGGTCCTGAATTAGGTGTTTTTGCAGGTGTCCACCCTGGAGTTCTTGCTGGAGTCCATGCTGGAGTTCTGGCCGGAGTCCATGATACTTGGCGTTTAGGAGTTCCTACCACACCATGGTAAAGCCAGACAGAGAAATCCTTGGCTGAGAACTCTTGGTAGAACTGAGAAGCCAAACGTGGGACACCAGCACTGGACATATTCCTTGGCGTCTGAGCACTTTTCCTCTCAAGCGAGTAATCAAAACTCTCATCATCATCAACAACTTGGTTGGAGTCAGGCTTTGATGTACCGGGAGTGAACCCTTGTGACAGCAAGTTGATGATATATTTAGATGCAGGGGTGCTACTTCTGTGAGGTGTTCTTGGAGTCTTTGGTGTTTTAGGGACTGGTGTTATGGCTGATTGATCAGGCCTTTGGCCATAGCATTGGTACTGAACAAGGGGATCTAGACCAATAGTTGATTCATCATATTCTTTAATAACATCTAACATGTATTCAATGCTATTTTCTCCATCTGGTATTGTTCTTCCAAAACCAGAAAGATAAGCGGGCAGTGCATCTGGCCTTCCCATGTATATCAGTCTACCCCTGTAACACCACTTTGAGTTCATTAGCCAGTCTGATTAGGAAATTTGGATGTCATATTGTGAGTTTCAAAATTTGCACCTTGCAAGGATAGCGATCTGGTCGAGGAGCTTTTGAATTCTGAATGAAGGCTGATGTATGGTCATGAGGACAATACTTCCACCTTGAGCTATGTGTTTAATCTTTTCCACTACATTGTAAGCACTTGTAGAATCGAGACCTGAGGTTGGTTCGTCAAGAAACAGAAGCGCAGGCTTGTGAATGATGTCTATGCCAATAGATACTCTTCTTTTTTCCCCTCCCGACACTCCTCTTGTCCCTTCATCACCAATATATGTATGTGCTGCACTCTGAACAACTATTCATTCATTCAACCATAGTATGTGTTTTTCAGTTAATAAAGAAGTAAAAGACATAAGTAATCAATATATCTAAGTACATCTTGATGTTGTGCTACTTAAAATCCAACACAAGTTTTTTGTGAGTTTCAGGTAGGTTGGTAAGATAAGCTGCTGGCTTAGATTCCATGCAGTGCCAAAATCTGTCAATTGCTTATAAATTTGAAACATTTATATTACTTTTATACTATTTCCCTATTTACAAGTAATTCATTCCTTTTTAATACCCTGCACTAGCCCTTTACAAATTCTGGCACTGTAATGAATCCAAATCTGAGTTAAACCTGCATATAGGTGGACTGACATAGTAGGCCTAGCTTTGGACCTATTTGGTCTGATGGGTTTTGACTGAAGCCCATCTAGTCTAGTGGGCTTGGTCTTGCCTAGCCCAACAAATAGTCTAAAATGTTTGAGCATGTTTACCTGCAGGCCGAGCTGATCGAGGAGCTCATGAACTCTGTTCTTTTTATCCTCCCTGGAGAGTGTAGGAGGAAGCCTAACCTCTGCTGCAAACATGAATGTCTCAAAAACTGTCAACATAGGAAAAGGTTGGTCATCTTGCATCACATACGATGATACCATCTTCAAGTAACTTGCACTGACCTGCATGATTAGAAAATTCACCAATCATTGCTATTTTAACCAGAGAAACAAAAAGGAATCAGACTCGAATGAATCCAGCACAAACAAAGCATCAGAACAGTATGACTTCATTTTCTTAATGAATTACTGGTTTTCCATCCATTCTAACTGATCCTTCAAGGCTCCCTTGTGCAATCCGACCAGCCAAGGCATCGAGGAATGTTGATTTGCCAGCCCCACTTGGTCCCATGATAGCCATGACTTCACCTCTGTTTGCCTGCCCAGATATGTCATGAAGGAGATAAGCTTCTTTCTTGATCCAAACACCATTATTCTTTTGCTTCTTCTGGACACAATATGATATGTTCTTGAATTCTAGACCATGTTCAGGAATGGACCTGTGGGATCTCAGTTGCTTCGCAATGCTTTGCGCGGCTCTTGTTTTGTCCAAGTCCAGCAAGTTCTCTAAGCTGTTTTTACTTGTGCCTGACTTATCTTGCCTTGCCATTGCAGTGATTATTATCCTCAGAAACCACTTTTCTGGCTTCCTCAGCTTCTGCTATTTAGCAGGTTTTAAAAAGTGATCGATGTTCAGAATCGACAGGATTTGCAGGGGGACAAAATCTGACGGTTAGACTGAAACCAATCTTGGACATCATCAGCCGGCAAACATGTTCTCTTCCTCTCTAGTTTTGTTCTATTTACGTTGATGGTGCCGAGGCTAGGCCATTATAATATTACTATTTTGTTTCCCTCTGCATGCTAGGAACTAATCCACTTAGAAAAGCACAAATAATATTCCAATAATTACTTGTTTAATTTGTCTTGTGCTGTTAATCACAGCTCTTAATTCTTTCAATATCTGTCTTGATGTTGTACCCTCACCGCCTCAACAACTTAATATTTTTAAGTACTCAAAAGTTAAGGTCTTTGTTGAACAAAAAAGTCATCTAATATAAATTATATATATCTATATATTGCAATTAATATTTGTGAAGGGCATTTGTTTTTAAAAGAAGACGAGCGGCGAAAATTCCTAAGGAAGGAATATGAATTTGATACCCGGACGGCACTCATAGAGATATCAGTTCACCAGTGCTCGATGTTCATTTTGTTAAATCAATTTTATTGCGCATGAATGCTAGTTAATTATTAGAACGTAAATGCATTTATTGGATGATAAGTCTTCTTTTAAATAAAAGGGAGAATTAGACCAAAGGATCTGCAGAGAAAAATATTTAATAAGAGGGATAATAAAAATTAAAATTATTTAAAAGGTCCAAATATAGATTTTAAAACACCAAACTACCCCTTCTACTTTCTTCATCCCCTCTGCAATTCTCCCTATTTTGTTTACATTCAGGAATAAAAAGAGAGTAAAGTACATCAATCAATATTCTTTATATTTTGTATGGAGTGAGGTGCGGCTAATAGAGATTGAAGAAACTCACTAACTGTCAAATAATTGAAATATTGTACGAGAGAATATAAGAGGATTAGTAATGAGTAATTTAGTCTTTCTAAAATTATATTTTAATATATCATTCTTTAAAATAATTTTAATTTTTATAATCTTCTACACTAAATATTCTTCTCTACAGCTCCTTCATTCTAATTCTCCCTGAATATTAAGTTCAAAATTTATTGCTCTTTCAGTAATCGGTAGTTTACTATCATTATCTGACCCAATAACAAATCCGAGAGTTTTATATTATTTATTAATTTATTATATTAATTTTTTAAAACAAAGGCATTATGTACATGCATTTAATCGATAATAAGTCCGCTTTTAATTATAAGCTGAAAATTTGGCTCGACTAATTGGTTGATACATACTTCCTCTATTTCTTATTATAAGATTCAATTTTTTGAATAAGTATATCCTTTTTTACAAGATTTTTTTTAGTTTGTTTCAGCATTTAATCTATTAGTACCTATTTTACTTATAATTCAATATATTTAATACATTTTCTTTTTTCTTTTATTTTACTATTACTCTCTCATATTTACCTATTTATATATAGGGGTATATTTGAAAAAAATTACATTTATTACATATTAATTATTTTTAACTAATTTTAATTATTTTTTTTAGTTAAAAGGATCTTATAACAAGAGACAGAAGGAGTAGCTGATACTTGTGCATGTATTACGATGAATTGATGATTAACCAGGCACGTTTATTTTTGCCGCAAGTGACCCAAGAAAGTTACTTACATGTCAGTACTGCGTTTTTGCTGTGTTGGCATATCTAGCTATCTTGGGTTTTTTTCAACCAATATCAGGCTATACTAAAAACTAATGTTACTGGATTTATCATTAATTAATTAATTAATTAATTATATTGGATGCCGTCAACTTGGGGGGAATAAGAAGTTAATGTGTGTTAAATCTATATAGAGATAATTAATCAACAGCTCCTTATAGTTTCAATTAATTTTGAATCAGATCCTTATAGTTTTTTTTTTTTATCAGGTCCTTATACTTTCACCTTTTTTATTAGGTCCTTGTATTTATTTTTCTTTTTATCAAGTCCTTTAAATTCACCTTATTTTTAATTAAGTCCCTGAATTTTTATTTTTTACTTTATAAATTCTAATAGTACTATTATATAAACATAAAATAGTATATATTATTTAATATTAGTTTATAAACAATAATATCTAAAGATATTGAATTATTATAATGATTTAATTTTTCAGCAAAAAAATTAATTGTTCTAAAAAAATTTCCTGAATTAATTAATTCTATTACTTTTTATTACATAATTATTAATTTAATTTAATTATTAATATTTTATATTTCAGTATTAATCTATTTAATTAAGCTTATATTTAATTAATAATAAAAATTAAAACTACATGCACCTGATTAAAATTTTAGTGAAATTATAAGGACTTAATTAAAAGAAAATAAATATAAGGACCTAATTAAAAAAGATAAAAGTATAAGGACCTGATAAAAAGAAAAAAAACTATAGGGACTTGATTCAAATTCGTTGAAACTATAAGGATTTGCGGATTAATTAACCCATCTATATACTACCTCCAATTCTTAATATAAAACCGTATTAATTTTTATTTTGGTCTTAAATACAAAATCTCAATCCACTTTGTCTATCATATTTACACTTTTTTTTCTAAAGTAATCCTTCTAATAATGGTAGTTCTAGATAACAAATTTGATTAGCAAAGATATTTTAGAAAAAACACATATTCATTACAAAAACTAATTTAACTAAGTTTCTTAATCTCTCCAAATTAGTCAATGAGTTTTATAATTATGACCGAGGTAGTTAATTGGGAGGTAGTAGTAGCATTAGTAGCAACAGAATAGATTAAGTTTGATGAAATAGATGCGTTAAGGGCCTACTTTTATATTGAAAATGTATGCCATTCGCCGGTTTTTAATATAAAAATAACAATTTTAATATAAGAGGTATTTAATTAATTTGAGTATATCACGGAAGTCAAATAAATTACTACCTCCTGTCCTTAATATAAGACCCTGTTGACTTTTATTATAATTTTTTTCCAAAGTAACCTTCTAATAATGATAGTTCTAGTCGATACAATTGATTAATAAGGATATTTTAGGAAAGACTGTACCTATTTAGAACAAATAACTAATTCAACTTAATTACTTCATTAATCTCCTCAAATTAGTCAACTGGTTCCTATAATTAAGACCAGAGGTAGTAGCTAATTATAGCTAATAACAAATCTTCTGTATTACATTAGAGTTTGTAGGTTAGATAAATCATTTAGTTTAGAAAAATGATAAATATATGAAAGATAAAATAGATTCGGATGTTATATTTAGTATTAAATCAAACTTCTAACTAGTTCCCATATAAGGTTGAATGGCATTTTTTTCATTGCTCACATGAATATCATTGTTTATTCAATGTAATAATATAACATGTATAAGAGGGTTAATATAATTTTAAATCTCTCAAATTTGTTTTTATTTTGATTTTAGTCTCTTAAGCCTTAAGGGTAAAATGGTTCAGATTTTTATTGAATTATAAGACCAATGTTTTAAATAAAAATAAACATGAGGAACCAAAAATTATGGTTTGAAACTCAAGAGATCAAAACCACAATGAGGATAAACTTGAGGACAAAAAATCATACTAACACTTTATAAAACTACGGTCATAAAATAGTAATAATAGTTTTAAAAAGGCGTACATAGTAAAAATCAAATAATCTAGCTAGATTCTATGTGCGTAATTGCATCATATGCTTATCGATATGTGCAGAATATCATCACCTTTTTTTTCAAAAAAAATATAATTATACCTATGGTAAATAAATTTGTTAATTATTAGTTTTAACTTTAATTAAAAAGTTGAAAAAAAATGCAATAAAATCTATAGCGTTGTGGTGTGCTGGTGGAAGGAGGCCCCAACATATCGTCTCCCAAACGACCTTTCTAAAGATAGCAACTTTTCTCTAATCAAATGCCAATCTCATCCACATTCCCAAACCAGAGGAGAACGGAGAGGAAGAACGTAACACCACTTTTCCCTCTCCTCCATCATCATCATGGCTTCCAATTACTCCCTCCTCCTTCTCCTCCTCCTCGCCGTCGGCGTCTCGGCCGATCCTGATCTCAACGGACTTCTCAACAGCCTCTCTCACGGATCCGTCACTTCCCTTCACGACACCATGCAATGCATGCAGAAACTGCTGCCCTGCAAAGCCTACCTCAACGTTTCCGCCACCGAACCGCCGCCGGAGACCTGCTGCTCCTCCTTGAAGGACGTCGTGGACAACGACTTCGAGTGCCTCTGCCGTTTCTATAAGGATCCTCAGATCCTCCCTACCTTGAATATTACCAGGCATGATGCCCTCCAGCTCCCTAAGGCCTGTAATGTCCGTCTTCGCCTTTCCAAATGCAAAGATGGTGCGTATTTTTATAATCACCCTCCTCCACCCTTACATATAGATATATATATCATATCAATGTTGCTCCGTAACATATTAAAGCTTGTTGGGACATGCAGTGTTGTTTATAGGTTTTTAATTCACAGTTTTTATGGCTATATTTGAATCTGCTTTTTCTCAACTTATAATTTACAACAGAAAGTCATAATGCATGCATGTTACCCAAAATGGATCGAGCGAGCGGATTCTTTTCATTTGAAACCTGAAAGTTTATGGTTATAATATGTCAAAATAACTTGTTATCTTGAAGCCAACTTCATCAATTACAGCAATGGAAATCGATGAATAATGTTGTGAAGTTGTATGGGTCTTGCACAATATTACTTTTGGTCTTTAATAGAAGAGTTAGTTTGACTTTTAAGTTAGTTATAAATATAATACCGCAATTTACTTTATCTCTAGTACTCCTTCGGTTATTAAAATAAAATCTATTTAACTAATTTGATTAGATTAAGAAAGCTGGATAAGTTAGTTAAATATAAGAAATATGACATATTTTTCTAAAATACTATAATCATCTTTCTTAATATATCTTTCCTCCATTTCTTATTTAATTATAGTTGAAGGAGTATCAATAAGAATAATTTAGAAAAAATTAATAAACAGAATAAATATGTTTATATTTAGAACAAAAATTAATTCAATAATTAGGTCTTTTATTAAGGATTGGAAGAGTATTTATTCATTTTGCCATCAAATAATTACTATAGTAGTTGCATATATTAAGAAGTTACTATTAATTTGTAATTTAGACACACATGATTAACAAAGACATTTTAAAAAAGACAATATATATTTACTACAAATAATTAACTAAACTAACTTTTTTAATATTTTCAAATTAGTCAATTAAAGCTTATATTAAGAGTAGGTAGTATGTAATATTATCGCTGATCCGGCCCCTAAAGCATCGAGGTTATTTCTAATTTTGTTTCCCCTAATGATTAACTACTGAGCAAGCTTGTGTTTCTCTTTGGGGAAGAAAATCATAATAATTGACAAATTGTACAATTCATAAAACTTAAAAGTCCGAATTAATTCAATCAACTGATCATCAGTTATATCCTTTTAGGATAATATAGAAACTTAAGCAAACATACCAAACAATTGATGAGCATAGTTTTCTTTTATCAATTAGCTAGTGGCGAGTGTTTACTACTCATAAATCATCATAAGATATTGTGTGTTTATATATACTATTTGCAGCAAAAGATTACAAGAAATGGAAGACTTTGATTTAATTAAAATAAATTGAGGGACAATCTTTTCCATTGCAGAAGCGAATTCTCCAACCCCAACTCCAACTGATGCTTCTTCATCAACAAATCAAGCAGCAGCTGCAGCTGCAGTACTTGCAGCAGCAGAGAAGTCCAGTAAGACACCCACACACACTCTCTCTCTTAGTTTTTATGATATATTTTCTCCATCTTTAAACAAATAGCTTGAGAAAGATAAACTCCATGGTAGATTTCAGGGCCGTGTGCGTATATGAATCACTTCTAATATATTTTACTAGAATCAAGAGAAACCTTAAATCTTATAAACTATAACTTAAAATTTAACAACTTTCGAATTGCATTCCATTTAATATCCATTTTGCCTCATGAGTTTCCTAAAAATAAATTTAAGGGTTAAAGTATATTCAACACCTCAAAATATTTTTTCGAGTGTATCCAACATACTAAAATATTTTTTTTAGATGCGTCCAGTATCCAAAAATATTTTTTGATACATTCAGCACTAAAACAAAAAATATTTTAGGGTGCTAAATACACATGAAAAATACTTTGGATGCTGGATGCACCTCAACCCTAAATTTAATAACGTCACTGATCAATAGTATCAAAAAGCCTTCTTTCTTTGTCTAATTATAAATAAGACTAGAGAATTCCCTGTAAGAAATATACACACACACTAATGCATTCTAAAAATATATCTAGCTATCACGGTGTCGAGTATTAATTAACATTTAGCAAAACTTAATTACTGGTTTATATCTTTGTGGATTGCCATATGCATGCTTTGTATTAATAGCTGTTTTGGTCTTATATGATTGAAGTTTCAGGCGCAAATGCCAGCCAAGATGTGCCTGCAGCCACTTCTGGTAGTGATTCAACCAAAAGAATCACGTATTTCGGTGTTGTTCTTGTAGCCTCTGCTTCATTGTTATTCATGAACTAAGTCGCTCCTTTACTCTGCATAAATATAATTTCAGCATTGGATCAGAATCTGCTCGACAGTGGGCTTTGCTTCATAAATTTATTTCACACAGTGATTGTATATATATTATATTATATATGATTATCAAATATATAATAAAAAACTTTTATCTGTCTTGACACATTAAAAAAAAGTACACTACTGTCATTTTAGTCTCTTATTTTGCAACTGCATCCGAAGTACGTAGCTACGATTAATAATCCTTACAATCAATTACACAAGAATATTATTCTATCTTCTTGACAAGTTTTTAAGGTTATTAGCTTGATAAAACTGGCCTTTTATGTATAACTACTACTACCTTCGATCCTTAAATAAAAACTAAATAAGTAATTTGGAGATATTAAAAAACTTAATTAAGTTGGTTATTTATATCAAATATTTTTTGGCTTCCCTAAACTACCTTTTAATTATTTGCATTAAAACTACTCCTTAATAAGAATATTTAATACGTACAATCAATAGGAATATTTAAAAGGAAAAGTTATAAATTTAGAAGACAAAATTGATTGATTGAAGTCTTTTTTATTTATAATCAAATCTGACTCTTAACTAACTCTTACATTAAAGACTGAAGATAGTATTCGGAGGATTTATTAATAATTGTTATTTTGTTTTATCAAAATTTGCGAAACAAAGGCATGCACCCTAGACCACAGTCAACTCAACTGTGTGTTTGGAGGATAGCAAAGAGATTTTGACACTAAAATGTCAATACTTTCTTGAAAAAGGACTTCTCTTCTCGTTTAAATTTATATCTTGAAGTGAGATCGTAACATCTAAAACATGTGCTAGATACGTTACTTAAGAAAAACGTATTGTAGTGCTTGTGTGAAGACGAACATTTTTAGTTTGTGACTTTGGTTGTCAGATTTATACTGAGAGATATTACAGAGTGATAATTGTGGTATTACCTTTAGTGCTTATTAATTTAAAAATTAGATAACTAATTACTAACATAAAAAAATCAGTTAAGTTAATTAGTTATAACAAATGAGTATTATCTTTCTTAAAATAGTATTGTTAATTACGTACATTAAAATGAAAACCCTTTAACATGTGTAATAATGAGAACTTTTTTAAAAAAAAAAGGGATAAATATGGGAGAGACAAAGTGGATTAGAAATATTATATATATATAGGACTAATTTGAATCTTCAACTAACTATATATTTAAAACAAAAATAATAATGCATAAAGGGAAGTGAATTTGAAGTTCAAGCCACCACATGGGGAGACAAAAAGATATTCAGAAAATGGTACATGATGCGTTTGTAAGATTGCTTGAAAAGACCGGAAGCAATAATAAGTAGAATCAGAAAGATTTGCAGGCTCTATTATTTCCTTTCAACAATGTTCCACCTGGGAGAGTGTCCAGCAATCTCTTATGAATATAATGAAGGTGCCACAGCAATATTGATGATCTTCCAATTCGATCTGGCGACAGATTTTGGAGATCCTTACTACTACCAAGAGAATTTCAAATGCTGTTACAACCTGAAATAGGTCTGGATCGGTACTTAATCAAAGTCGTTTTTAATGAGAAATTTGTGTCTTTATAAATATGAGTACTTTTGTCATGTAAATGTTCTTACTATTAATATGTTTTTTTTCACAAGACTTAAGCACAGATTAAAATACCCCTGAATTTGTGACACATTTTTCCTAGGGCATTCACAGTTTTCACGTTACCATTTAGGTCAAATTCAAGCATTCTCAAATTCTAATTAAGAGTCTTTTATAATATTTGTTACATTCACACATATTCAAGATCTCAATGTTTAATTGGTCCGAGCTCCTTCCACTAAAATTAATACATCAACACGTTGTATTTATTTTTCTAACTTAACCCAAAAACAAGGTGATATAAAATATGGCTTGTGATGCTTGGAACAACAAATATTTGATAGAATTTATCTTTCCCCCCTCCCTCCCTCATTCTCTATATCATTAAATTTTATAGAATTTTTACTATTAAAATTTAATTTTAAAATCTTTTTACTAAAATCATAAATAAAAAATAAAAAATTTATAACAAAATATATTGTTTATAAATTATAAACAATATATTTTATTTCAAATTTTGTGATTGACAATATACTACTACTTCTAAGCCTTAATATAAGGGTTAATTTTGATTAATTTAAGTATATTAAAAATTATTAAAAATCAGTTATTTATAATAAATAAATTTATTTTTCTTAAAATATCCTTGCTGATAATATGTATTAGCTAGAATTGCTATTTGATGAGATATATAACATGTGTAACTAATACAATGATTACTTTAAAAAAAAGAAGATAAATACGAGAATTAAAACAAATTAGGGTCTTATATTTAGAACCAAATTAAATGTTAGACTAACTCTCATATTAAATAATATTGCAACTTCTTAAATTTTTATATTATATGTATACATAAAGATGCAAAGATTATCATGTACTACTTCCCTTCCATATATCAAGAGCTTGATAATTAATTTGGGAATATTAATATAATTATTTAAATGTATTATTTGTAATAAGTGTGTGTTGATTTCCCTAAATTATTTTTTAAAATATATTTATTGAAATTATCCCCTTATGAAATTAAAAAAAAACTATAAATCTAACCTTTCAGGCAGCTCTTGCAAAAAACAATATTAAACCCAATGCAGCTATTTTTGTGGTTATTATTATTTTTTCTGCCAGCGAATTCTTATTAATATTATTATTAAAAAAAAACATAAAAAGAAATTAAAAATTATATATTTCAATTCAGATACCTAAAATTACCTCCGGTCCTAATTATAAAGCCAGCTGACTAATTTGAGGAGATTAAGGAAATATATTAAGTTAGTTATTTGTAATAAATAGGTGTTTGTCTTTCATAAAATATTCTTGCTAATCAAGTTTATTAGCTAGAACTACTATTATTAGAGGACTACCTTGAAAAAATACTCCTCCGGTCTTATTAAAAAAGACCCATTTGACTTTTTATTGGTCCTATTATAGACCCAATCCATTTTCTCTTTTATATTTATGTATTCCAAGAAATCCTTCTAATAATGAATAGCAAGTATTTTAGGAATAACAACCTATATTATAAATAACCACTTAAACTTACTTCCTTAATCCCTAATAGTCAATTGGGTCTTATATTAGGACCGAGGATTACATAATATGAAAGACAAGTGGATTAGAAATTTATAATTAAATCAAAATAGTCAAACAAATCTTTGTTAAGAACTAGAGGTAATAGTACAAAATATGATCTCTGATTTGATTTTTTGTAAATAGTCAATAATAAATGTCATTTTATCATTTTTTTTTTAAAAAATTCAAATTTATCATTATCAATATATTTTTTATCATTAACTGTTTAATATTTGTTATTATCACTTCACAACTTATTAATAAATATTTGTCATTGTCGGTACATTTCTTATCATTTGTTATTCACACTTATCATTATCAATTCACAACTTGTTAATAAATTTTTAATATAAAGATATTTTTATTATTTAACTATATTTATAAAATAGTCGATGAGACATCACTTTGTTTCATGAAATGTTGAAGTCCTAGATCCTTGAATCAGAATATTACAATTCTAATTCTTTTTAGTTCATTTCTCCTTATTATTATTAATTGGGCCGCAAGCTATTTTCCCGTAAACCCTCGGGGAGGAACCATAAGCCCGCTTTGCGTCGAAACGGCGGGAAATTCGTTCCGGATGACGGAGTCAAGATGGGATCAGTCTCCACTGGCAAATCGCTAGCCAGGCTTCGACGCGGCGGCGCCGGCGGGACATTATCTCATTTTCTCGCTACTAAGTGGGTTGCATACGCATCGCCGATTTCGTCCTCCTCCTATTCTTTCAGCTCCGCCGCTTCCGTTGCCTCTTCATCTGGTTTTCAACCATCGCCGCCTTCTTCTGAAATAGAAGGTATGTGCGCTGGTTCATCCGAGTGATTCTCTACATGCGCTTAACATTGCATTTTGCCATGCTGAGTTTGTTTGCTTGCAGAGCGTGTCAGAATTTTAAATTCTCTTCGCTTATTGGTGCTTTTATTTGTGAAAGGGAAATCCTCTAGGTGGTCAAAATGGTTTCTATTCCTACCTGGAGCGATCACATTTGGTCTTGGAACTTGGCAGATTTTCAGAAGACAAGAGAAGGTGTGGACTCAGTAAACTTATAATCTCTTCTCTCTATCATGAAAATTTCAAGTTCATTTAGTTGTTTACTCGTTCTATGACTATCCGCAGCAACGTCATAGAAGTGAATGGTGATCTGATGTCTTGCATTGAATTCATGATTGTTCTAGTTTTACTTTTCAATCAGTAGTTCTAAAGCGAATGGCTTACAGATGTTAGAAGCTTGCAAAATGTTCAGAACTAACGGAGATGTAGAAAAAAAGATGGAGTGTGTAGAAAAATTGTAAGTGGAATTTATACATAATTACATATTCCTACTCCATGTGTCAAACCGTTCTGTCACCCCAACGAGGCGCTTTAATTTGAAAGGATCCAAATTCGAACCAGGACAAGCATCGTATAGATAAGCTTGTGACCTAAGCATGGTTTTGGGGCTGACATTTTGTACGAATAATTATTGGTTGTTCGTTGGTCTGAAATTTTAGACTTATCTATGTATTGATTTATTCCAGCTCTCCATTTATAATTCAGGCCCTATAAATTGTAATTTCATCTGCACACACATCAGGAATATTCAGCTCAATGTCACATATTTATTCTGGTTCAAAGGGATTCATAGGCTCATGTTGTGGATTATGCCTTTTTCAGTTCAAATGTCTTGGAGGAATCCATTAAATGATACTATAAGTTTTGAACATTATATGTTTAAAAAACTTGCTAACTATTACAGAATGGATTTCTGGATGAATACCTTCCACTTTTGAAGTTTAATTTTCACGAAGTTATAAGATTCCAGATTCCATGTCTTAATATTGGCTAAGCAAATTAGCAAACTGAAAATGAGTCTCCTCAACCATTGGTAATAGATAAAAATGTTGGACTATCGAGAGAAGAGACTGCAGATGGAGCCTTTAAAATTCAGCAGTGCATCTCCATCTGCTGAAGAATTGGATTCTCTAGAATTCAGGAAGGCGGTCTGCAAAGGAGTTTATGATGATAAAAAATCAATCTTTGTGGGTCCACGTTCGAGAAGTATTTCAGGAGTGACTGAAAATGGCTACTATCTTATAACACCTCTTATGCCGGCTCCCAGTTGTCCAGACAGGTACGGCTTTTGTATTGTATATTTAACAAGTTGTTTGGTTTTTAAAATAGACTGGAATGGAAAGGAAATAAAATTTTAAAAAATGGTTTCATAGATGAGAAATATCGTCTGTACCTCTGGAAAAAAAATTAATGGGAAAGTAACTGATCACAAAATCTTTACAAAATTGATAAATATTGATTATTGAAACGCACGCTCACATAGCATTTAGCTGTACTTTTAAATTGAAGTAAAATGTTGCTGATTCTGCTCAATGGGTAGGTTTGGACTTCTAGAACAGTTCGATTTTAAAAATATGGTAGTTTTACACAATACCTTATAATGGATCGTGTGCTAATCAGCACCATTACAGCATGGATTAGAATGCAAATATAACTTAACGAATGGACAGGTTTAGGAAATTGGTATTATTGATAATCTGGATTCCCATGCCTTTGTAATCATATCATCATATATGGAGAATTCTCACGCGAAAAATATTTAAATTTGACTGTTCATATAAGAAGTACAATAACTAACTTTTCTTTAGACTATAACATTTTTGAAACATGTGGTTGCAAATTGCACTTATCCTGATAACCTTTAGCTTTTGCTTCTATTGAAAAATTATTCAGATAATTAGATTTGTCTTCTTGTTCTCATTTCATCAACAAGAAACATGCATGGAAACCCACTGTCCCAGTTTAAATGTCTTCAATCTTTTCTAGCACCTGAACTGTAATTCATAATATTGATGAGGCTTTATTTGTCAGCCGTAGTTTCATTGACAACCTGTCCATATTAAGATATTTTTATTTCGGCAAAGAAGAATCGATCATTTCTTTGTCTTGCTACCTACTGTATTCATTGAAGTGATTCTATTTTTGTACGTTGTTTAATTTTCTTTCAGCGTGAGTTTTCCAGTAATAGTCAACAGAGGATGGGTTCCACGCAGTTGGAGAGATAAGTTTGTTGAAGCTTCTCAAGATGGTGAGCAGTCTTCAGAACCACTCCCCTCTCCATTGCAGGCTGGTGGAACAAAATCCTGGTGGAGATTTTGGTCTAGAAAACCTGATATCACTGAGGTGTTGTCATCATTCTGGATCTAGATCATCTTTTGTTACATGACAGTATCTTAGGAATGAGAAAGACAATATTTTGGAGAATTATGCCTAAGGACCCAAATTTAGAAATCTTATTCATTATATTACTAAGGATCACTAATTGTAAATACTCATTTCCACCTGTAAATTAGTGT